AGATATCAGGAGAATCTTCCTAGGACTCAGTCTATTTTTCAGATGGCACTAATACTCTTTATTAATTAGTTTATTTTTACATTTTTTCTAATGCCACGTATTTTTTAAATTGTAGCTTTTCCTCTATTTTAGGCAAGGAAAAGTAATTTTCAACAGCTAAATGTATGCATATTAATAGCTTAATTACACAGAATTTAAACAAACACCTTTCAAAATTTCCTCCCTCTCACTCTGAAAAAAATGCCTTAGTGTCTGCCCTAGGAGATGGTGAGACTTCAAGACCAGCATCACCAGATAAAATCTGACTGAGTTTTGTCTATTTCCATTGTTCTACATACATCAGCAAATTGGCCAATTACTGTAGTTTCCTTATTATTCCAAATATCTTTCTATGGCCAACACAATTTAGTGCAGAGAATTTTTAAAATTACACAAACACAGATATTACATAGTTTGAATGTGAAGTCTCTACTGTAATGGCAAAAGTATTTATATAAAGTTTCAATTACCATTTCTAAACAAAGGGACAATTTATAGCCATACTAATTTGGCCTTTATTTTTCAAAACAAAAAGCCTTCTCTTACACTTGCCTCAGAACAAACATTTGTAAAAATCACATAAAATTTGTGTGTGCTGACGGCTGCTAGTGACTTCTCAAGTTTGAAATGCAACAGTGTCCAAGCAATAGAGAATAACCTCAATTTCATACAGAGGAATGTCCCCTCAAAATTTGTTTTAACCCTCCCTATATGCAGATGGAGTGACCACGCTTGCATGAGGCTGGCTGCTACATACTGAACTGTGTCTTTGCTGTAGCTGAGCCTGTGTGTCTGTGTACATACTCCAGAAGAATACTAAGTGCTGTCACCAAACTGCCAAAACTGTACAGTCTATTCCCACCTTACCAAGATGAAACAGATCAATTAGTTTAGACTATATTGTATGTATTGAAGAGTGGGAGAAAAAAGAGGTACAATATTTTGAAAAATGACTGAAAAAGGCACATTAGAAAACTCTTTTTACACAGTTCACTACAAGGTATACGTTCCACCTCAGACTAAACAGTAATACATCTTCACCAGAAACTTCACATGAAGAAGTCCAAAGCACCATTTGTCAACACTTTTACCAGAAACTCACTTGCACACTCTAAAAATCACTTTTCAGCACAAAAAAAAAACCACCAAAAAAAAAAACAACCCCAAAACCCCAACCAAAATAATAATAAAAAAACCAAACACAAAAAAAAGCCCCACAAACAAAATACTTTCCATTATCCTTCTATTATCCCTACATTTAAAATAAAAATGCTATGTCTATGGTTTAATTTTAAAATTAAATAGAGTTGAAGAATGTTTATTGTTTCGACAATTCTGATTCATTTGTAATCTGTTGAATTAGGCAAGTGTATTAGAAATGTAATTCCAGCTATTACAATGTGTTACATTTACTGAGAAACTGAGATTATTGTATTCTACAGGCAGTCATCTGAGTCCTGCTGCTGCTGTTTTTAAATGATTTCCAGCAGATTTTCTCATTTAGCAACCTCAAATTGTGGGGTTTTAATACATATTTCTGTTCACTCTTCTACACTGCAATTATTCAAGAAATATATTGTCATCAGCTCCTTGTTAACTTTTTTTTTCAAAATTATTTAAAAATATATTTTAGCATTTCAATTTTGATTAACAATTTCAAATTATTTTGAGTGTATATCTGTACTTGATGACATACTAATTATCTTCAGATTTCCAACAGTTTCTCACCACCATCTCCTGTTTGAATGAAGTTTGAATGCTGTAGCCCAAGCTGGCTATAAAATTATTTGTTTAGATTCTAAAACTTTTGCGGTAACATTACCATGAAAGTTCTACTGTGACCAGTCAACTTAAAACCCGGCCTAATGTTTGTCCTCCATCCTGCACCCCAAACTTCCATGTTTCTCTCTGTTGCTATGAATGTCCCTTCACTGTGAGGATTACATTTATGGGACATTAATTTTTAAATGCTTCATTTTATAAAATCTATTTAGAGGTGATATGAAACATGATTTCATTATATTAATACTAAGCTTCATTTGCTTAGTCTTGCATTTACTCCTTTGGAGACAAGGAGCAAAATGAACTAAAAGACTACACATATGAAATAATACTGCTTAAACAGTTTACTTTCTTAAAATGACAAATATTCTTGTGCTGTGTGAACTATTTTTGGCCTGTTGCAAAATATACTCAGGAACTGTAGCAATATCTTGATCACAGCTGTGAACAGAAACGAAGAGCACTGACTTGACAAGAAGTGTTTTAATTCATGAGATTTGGAACTCTCATTATATCTGGCCTATAAAATTGCTTTCAAGTATGGTAATCGTTAGGCTTCCTAATGTAATGTGTAAATGATTTACATTACACTAATGTGCACTAGATAGCCCTCTACTCCTGTAGCCTGTCTCCACCTTGTTCACATTTCTCACATTAAAGTGCAAACCCAACTTTAGCTTGTTAATTCTTAGCCATCAAGGGTTTCACTCTATTAATTAAAATATGTTTTAATAGAAGGCAACATAGTACATTTTGATAACAGCCTTCTAAGGCTGAAAAGTATTTTTACATTGTTGCATTTTAGGGCTGCTGTGAAAGCCGATTTTGTGCTATTCAGGAACCACAATAATAACGCTTTAAAATTCCTCACTGGGATGCAATGTAGTCCTTTTGATGGAAAGACTGTCTTTCTCATTCGGCAGAAATAAATCCATTCATTTGATCATGTAGTCATTGAGGGCAATACAAAACAAACCAAGTGTGAGAAATTCTATGTGATGAAGTAAACAAAACAAAACCCCCCCAAAAAGGGGAAAAAAAAAACCATTTCCATGACAAAAAGATTCTTTGTCCTTAATCTACCCACCATATGCAAGCGTTTCTTTTTAGCATATCTCTTGTTCTAATCTCGGGTGACATGGCTACATAGATAAGATTCACAAAACAAAACAAAAACCTAGTTTAACAATTTTTTTCAATTTATTAACTCACCAGGAATGTCATAATGAAGTAGTGGGGTTTTATTTTCCTTTATTGAAATGGATTCAGAGCATGTAAAAGTTTATAATGCTAATGATAAATTCTTAGACCTAGAGCCCAATCCAACAGAGATGGGCTCAACAAATCTTGCTTTCATAATAAAATACTAATTCTCATCTGCTTGCCTATATTAATTTCTTTTACACGACCACAGTTTCTGAAGGAAAAAAAAATTGAAAATGCACTGCTTTTCTCCTCCACTGTGACAGAAGGAAGCACATCTCTGTGTGCCTGTTATTGTCAACACCCAAGTGGATTTTCCCGGAGCAGTGGCAAGAACCCCCTTAGCAACTTTGGACAGTGTGGGACTTGCTCCTTGCCTCCCCAAACACCCTGGGAAGGAGTGGGAGGCTTAACAATTTGCCAGTCTGACAGATGTTTTAACCTTATGAAGTGGATTCATGCTGCCTTAAGCTTCAGGGCTGTAAAGTTCAGATACAATAGTAAAATCCTCCTCGAGCTTCAACTTTGCTGCCTTTCTCTCCCTACAGATGCAACTTAAGAGTAATTATAGTTTTAAAGCAGGAGAAGGACTTTTTTGTTTTCGTTTTCGAAGGGGGAGAGAGAGGAGATAATATAGTGGAGCAAGGGGCCTACACAGAAAGCAGAAAACATTTGGGATCCCACTTGGTTATACAAGAAACTAAGAAATCAGCGGGATCTATGCAAAGAGGAAAATAAAAAACTTTCAAGTGGAAGCTCTCATCTTAGTCCAGGAGAAGAGAGCATGGGCTGTGGTGTGTCTTTGCATGCTGCAGTGCCAGGCACTACTAAGGAAATTAAAACTAATTAAAAAAAAAAAAAAAAAAAAAAAAAAAAGGAAAAAGGAATGAGAAAACCGTGCAGCCCTATTCCTGAAAACAAAATTACAGCGAAGTGGAAATAAAGCAGGATTACAGTTCAAATCTCTCCAGCTTTGGACACTTGTTCACTAGCAGCCTGGCAGACCAGATGCATAGAAGCAAGTGTGAGTGTGCCTGCGTGTGGGGAGGAAGCGAGGAATGGCGGATGGGCGAGAAAATAACCCTCTCCCACAAGCCGGCGCGACAGGGGCTGGTGGCGGTGGTGGCACTCCGTGTCACCTACCACTGATAATAATTACAGTCGCAGCAGAGTCGGGAGGGGAAGGGGGGAAGGCAGCGCAGGGGGGAAGGCTAAAAGCTGCTGTTGAATCCTCTCGAAAATAATGAAACAACTCCTCTGGCCCCGCGCACCCAAGCGGCCCTGCCCGCTCCTACCGGGGTCCCCCCCGGTCCCTCAGGGCGAACGGGGGGAGCGGCCGGGGCAGCCCTCGCAGCCTGGGCGGGCGACCCGGGGCCACGGGGGCATTCCCAGCAGCGGTCGCCGTGGGGCTGCCCCGGGGCCCGCAGCCCACGGCCCGCGGGACCTCCCGCGGCCCCGGGCAGGGCATCCCGGCCCCGGCCGGCCCAACTTTCCTGCCGCCAGCGGGGCGAGCGGAACATGGCTTCTGTCCGCTCCGAGCCTCCGCCAGGAGGGAGCAGGAGCGGGAGAAAAGAGAATACCCAGTAACAGAGAGAAGGAGCGCAGCGGAGAGGAGGAGGAGGGGAGGCAGGCGCTGCTCCGGGGCGCCCGTCCCTGCAGCTGCTCCAGCCCGGGTGAGTGGGGAGGGAGGGCCGAGCCCCGCCGCTGAGCCCAGCCGCGATCAAACCGCTGGGAAGGCCGGGAGGTTGCTGCTGGGAGGGCTGGTTAGGCAGAGGGTGGGCTGCAGAAACTTGGCTAAACTGCGAACTTCTTAGTTCCGCTGCCTCTTCCCCCGGCTGCTCTAATTCCCATTCTCCCGCTGCAGAGTAATTGCGCTCCTATGTTCACCATCACCATAGATTCACCTATCTCCATCCGAAACACACTCACAAAAAGAGAGAGAGAGAGAAGCAGAAAGAGGCGACGGGAGCCCTTACCGTGCTCAGAAACTACCTCTGCTTGCAGCTCTTCGTCCGATTTGAGATGCTGGGGTTTCGCTTGCTTTCGACGAGACATGCTGCTAACTGAGCCGTCTTGACTCTGATTTTTGCAGAGGCATCAGCGACGTGGAGGTGGCAAGGAGGGGGGAAGGAATTGGGAACGAAGGAAGGGGGCTTGGGGACTGCAAACAACTGTTCACAAATAAAAGTCGAGTTGCAAAAGAAACCAAACAAACAACAGAAAAGGCAATCAACACCCCGGGGGAAAAAAAAAAGGAAAAAAAAAAGGCAAGGCTATCCAGCCAGCCAAACTGGGAGTGAGTGAGTGAGTGCGCGGGTAAGCGGGTGAGCGAGCGGGGGATGAACGGAGCGGGGTGTGCGCGGGGCGGCGGGGTGTGCGCGGGGCGGCGGGCTGGGGCGGCTGCGCGCAGCGCGCATGGGGCTCAGTAATTATGATTGTGAATAATGCATGGCGATTAATGGTGCTGGGGGCGAGCGCGGATTGGCGCGGCTCCAGCGGACTCAGGCTGCATATGTAAATGAAGGACGGGGCTCCGCAATTAGCCGCTTCGCTCCGCCAAATGATGCGTCTCCCCGGCACCGGCAGCGCCGCCTGCGAGAGGCACCGACCGCGTCGGTGGCGGCGGCAGCGGCAGCAGCGGCGGCAGCAGAGAAGCACACACGCACCACGCAGGAGGGAATCTGTTTTGCACACACTTTACACAACATATGTGCAAGGTTCACTTGTTGGGAAAGGTCACGATCTTCGCTTTTCTGTCTGTCGTGCTTTCTTCCCCCCCGTCTCTCAGTTTCTTTTGCTCTGCTTTCTGCTCTCTGCTTTTTTCCCCCCCCTTTTCTTTCTTCACATCACTCTGCGTCCTCTGCTCTCTCGGTCTCGCTTTCCCCAGAAGTTGAGCTGCAAAGCATCTGATTTCTGTGTGTGAGTAATTTCTTCCCAGGAAGAAAAGAAACTTTTGTGCATGCCTTTTCCTTTTCGCTGTGCTTTCTTTTTCGGCGTTGTGCTGCTCTTTCGCCTTGATCTTCACACGTTTCTCTTCAGTTCTTCCTCCATCCTGTCTCCTTTCCCGTCGCTCTCTCTGTGTCCCCTTCCCGGCTGACTTTTGTTCTCTCCGCTCTCGAAAGCGCACGCACGCACACGCAGAAGACCTTGGGCAGTTTTGTCTTTCACCTCTCCTTCCTTCTTCTTTGTCTTGCAGCTTCTTTCTCCAAGCAGAGACTCCCCGTTGGTGGTGGTGGTCACTTCCTGTTGTCCATTGGTAGGAAGTTTTTTTCTTTCTCCCTCTCTCTCTCAGGTTGTAATGACTTTTTGTGACACTCCTCACCCTTCCGCCCACCCACCCCCTCGGCTCAGCCGTGTGTCCTATTAGCTAATGACAGCGGGCTCGCGTGTGCGCCGATGAGCAAGCCCTTGGTCTCCAGCAAATAGTATGGATCGTCTCCCAGTTTTGGGGGGTGGGGGTGGCTGTTGTTGTTGTCGCCGGGTGATCCCCCCTCCCCTGCCTTGCCTCGTTCTCAGCGGCGCCGCCAGCTGCTCCCTGCGCGGAGGCTCCACCGGTCGCTTGCCTCCGCTCCGTGCCAAGGAGCGCTCAGCGCGCCGCGGACGTTCTTGATTTCGGGCAGATAAACTTTCAAGTTTGGGAGCGGAGAGGGTCACACGGCAGCTCCTCCTACTCTCCTCCTCCTCCTCCGCCTCCCGTGCTGCGCTGCCGGGGCTGCCGCCGGGGCTGCCCCCAGCCCCGCAGCACGATCCGCTCCCCGCCGCCGCCGAGCCTCCCTCTCCGCACGCACTTTCCCAACAGCGGCTTTTCTCCCAGGCCCCCCCTTTTTTGTAAAAGTGAGGGGGGGTGGATGGGGAGAGACTTCCCTCCCCCCCCACCCCCCGCTTTCCACTCTTATCGCATTTCAAGTTGCCGGGGAGCCGGGCCGAGCCTCCTCCGCCCCGTCCCGCCGACTCGCGTCCCTCCCGCCCCGTCCGTCCCCCAGGGAGGCGGGCGGCCCCTCCACCGCGCAGCAGCTCCGTCTCCCCGGCCGCTGCCACAAGTTGCCGCTTCCCGTGGCCGTCCCTGCCCGCCTCCCCCTGGGCCGGGGCGGGCGCGGAGTGCAGCCAGCCCGCTCCCATGGCAGCCAGCCGCCGCTAGGATGTACCCCACCGTCGCCGATTGCCGCGGCGCCGCACCGCGCAGGGGCCCGCAGTGTGCGCACTGTCCTGTCGGGCGGCTCCGCGCCGCGCTGTGCATGTGTGCTTTCGGGGCGGGGAGGAGTCTTTCAGCGTCTCCTGCGGTCCCCTCCACCGTTTTGTTTTGTTTTCCTTTCTTTCTTTCTTTCTTTCTTTTCCCCCCTTTTTTAAATTTCTCTTCTTCTTTTTTTTTTTTTCTTCTAATATTAGCAGTCTGGCCCCGCCGACCCCCGCCCCGTGCAGCGCTCGGCGGAGTGGCCCCGGCGCCGGCCCTCGCAGGAGCGCGGAGGCGCAGCCCACCTTGCCGGCCGCGGGAGGGAGGCGGTCAGCTCCGCGCATGGGGCCGGGGATCAGTGAAAGGGATTTCCTCCTAATACCCCCACCCCAGCCCGTGTAATCCAGCCCTAGTCCTTAAAACACACTAACCCCGGCTTCTTTGGGAGCCTTCTCTGTGTAAACTTTCCCTGCTGATAGCTCCCTTTATCTCGTGAGCTCTGATACCCTGTCTCTGGGCTTTCGGTTTATTCCCCGCTTTTATGTTGGTAGGCAAACCAAATAAAGTTAGAGGCGACAGTTTAGGCCACTCTGGATAGGTTGCTGACACGCACAACATCCGCGACTTCTGTGGGGCAGGTATTCGTTAGAAACGGGCACAAGCCCTAAGGGAGAGAACACCGAAACGCCAGATCAATGCTTTTTGGTATTAGACGACTGTACTTTTCTGTCTGTCGTTTGCCGAGATGTGTACACGACACTCCATGCAATGATTGCCCGCTTCACAATTATAAAACTCGTTTACTGACTATAAATTCTAGTGCATCTCCTTCCCGTGCATCCTTCCTTGCTGAAAGTTTTGTCGTACTAACAGTGTTTAGTTTAAAATACCTGGAGACAATGGTGATGGTTGAAATATTATGGAATTTTCTTATATGAAGTGGGAGGGGATGAGTCCACTAATTGAGCATGGGGGTTTTTTCCGACAGAAATAGGGATTTATTGCACCCAACTCACACGAATAACACATTGTGCGTGTGTGTGTATGTGCTGCATTATAAGCAGAGTGCAGGTGAAAGCAAGCATCTGCGGGCGTTCAAGTAACCCGCAGCACCGCGGCCGTGAGTAGGGAGCTGGAGTTGAGGCTTCCTCTTCAAAAACAGAGAGGGACATTTTTCACGACTTTTATAGGTGAGGAGGCTTAGCTAGTGCTCTCTTTGGCTGAGATATTTTCCCGGAATGAGTGAGGACGCACTTTCCCCTCGTCCAGGCATTTTCCCCCGCAATTGCTGTAGCACCTGAAATGTGTCAGTTTTCATCCAGTCATCTGTTGAAAAGATTTGTTGCTGTTGGTGAGGTAACATTCCCCACCCCCCTCACCACCCATCCCTCAAAACTTTGGCGTTTTCTATTGCTCGGTGCCTGGTAGTTCCCTCAGCAGCAGACGATTTCTAGAAGAACGTTTAAAAGTGCGATATGAGGGGAGGAAAAAAAAGGCAGCTCATTGGCAGCGTTATAAACCCAAAACTTTGTCCTTTGCAAAATTGAAATGACTGAAAATTAATATGATTTTGCGGAATGTGAGAGAATCTTTAAGTGGAAAATTAAATAATCCCGTCTTTAATTTTTAATGAACAATGGAGAACACTATAGGCAAGAAAGGCATAATTACCAGATTTGTATCTCTTGACATTAACATATTCTAGGGTTACAAGTGATACATTTTATGGTTTTCTTTTCCCTAATGCCGCTCGCATTCCTACTTTTTCTCTAGGAGAGCGAGCCGGCAGCTCTGCGCGGTGGTTACCGAGTGCCGGAGTGCTCCGGGCGCGGAGCGGGGCGGCCGCTGCCCCCCGCCGGAGAAGCGCTGCGGAGCCCCGGCTTCTTCAGGCACCGCCGGGTCGCACCGCTAGCGACGGCGCACATCGCCGGGGGAGTCTTACTACACGACCTGAGTGGAAAACCTGTCAGTGTAGCGGGCTCGGGAGGCGAGTGGAAAGTTACGAAGTGATACGCGTCTCCTCCGGTCCCTTCCTGCTCCCTCGCTCCCCATTACACCGCAAAGTTTTCCACGGACCTTTTAATTAATCTTCAGGAGTCTAGGGCGAAAAAGAAATGTAATGATGCGTTCGCTGAAGCTGGGCTGCGAAACAGCACGGCCACTGCAGTTGGGGGGGCGGGGGGGAGGGGATGGGATCTCTTAGCCGCGTAAATCTGTGCGCACCCGCACAGGTAGGGGCGCTCAGGCGAGCAGGGAGCGCGGTTGCGGGGCTGGCAGTCACGCTTCTTCCGGCTCAAACAGCGCCCGCTCGCTTCCCCCTCGCCGTGACTGCTGGGTCCACCGAAATACTTTACCAGTGATGGGAAACAAAAGTGTTTTTTCCTCTCCCTAATTAAATCTAATTTGTTAATCGTCTTCTTCTTTTGAGATGTTGCTTTCATTGTCAGAGGCGACACGTTATTATTCTGCCTGCTTAATAATATCATTTACCAACGAGTACGTTATTTTTTTCCATTCATGCGACACCTAGTTATGCGTTTGCTTTAATTTTTATCCTTATTCGGAGTTCATAAAAACCATCAGAAAGCTTATCTACAAGATTGACTGTACAAAGAGCATATAAGTAGTTCTCTCTACACTTATGCTTTATACAAGGTTGTTCTTAAACTCGTCAAAGTTACCAACGTGTGGATAAGATGGATCTGACGTTTAGTGCAATCCATCTACCGTCTTTTAAAGTTATTATTTTGCCCAGCAACTTTATTCGAAGGGGCATGTAATTATTTGGGCTTTATTTTCTGTCATCTCCTACTCCTCCCGGCAGGCTGAAGTATCGTCTTCCCGCCTTCTTTCCGCACCACAACTTCTGTTTGAGGACCCTGGGGTTAAATCCAACAAGATTTTCTTCTGTTTAAAGCTGCAACAACTGACCAGTAATCCGTTCTCACGTGAGCAAAGATATTACCATACTAATATTATTATTGGTAAGAAGACGTAATTGATAACACCACCTGCCACTCTGCAGCAATCATGATGATAAATGTTTCCATCAGAGGGAAATCTGTGCTTGGTCTACCACAGCCTAACCCAAACAGCATGTCAAA